GGGGGGGGGGGGGGGGGGGGGGGGGGGGGGGGGGGGGGGGGGGGGGGGGGGGGGGGGGGGGGGGGCGCATGTTTCAGGCAGGGGAGGGTGCGGACGGCCGAGAAATGCGTTAAATTTCCAATAACCGTTGTCTACGAGCATGCATGCATGTTTGTGTCTCATGCATCGCGGGGCAACCCATAGCTTCACAATTTTGTCCTAGAGTATCAACAGCTTGTAAATCAACACGCTTCGTCAAAATGCTCATGAAACCCACATGCAGTCGTACCCGAAACCCGCACGCACACACGCACTCTGTTGCCCCAACTCCTGCGTCTGTCGCGTAGAACTCTTCATTTTGTAGAAAGCTTCTTCTCGTCGGCAGAACCCTTTGCTAGAAAGCGTGTTCGCGTTTTTTATCCCGCAGTAAGACTGCCCTCTTTTCGTTGCTCAGCCGGTTAGCGCTGTCGATGCAACGACACGCACATAACCCGGCACCAACCAACACAGAGCACAAAGGAATAAACAAATCCGCGCACCTTTCGCTTCCCCCCCCTCAAACCTTCTGCCAAGCGCCTCCGGTCCGTTTCCACACCACCATCGTCCACTCCGACGCTCACGAAAGGATCGGCACGCAAAGCAGCGGCGGCAGCGGCGGCGACAGCGGTCGTGGCGGAGGCGCCTTTCTCCTTGTCGCGCGTTGCTTCAAGTTCATTCAGGAGATTTGTTTTGAGGGGGAAATTAGAGGGCACGGACGGCGCAGGAAGACAGAAGAAAACGGTGGGCACATACGATCGTGACAAAAAATCGAGAGTGGAATGAATGATTTTACAGTATTAATAGTGGTCGGGCTTGTAAGCTAAGCGTCCAACTGTAAGGTATCACCGTGTGAGGGCGATGATGATGCCACAAATTATCTCATGACTTGACCGTTGGGTCACAAGTATCCGTGTGCTTGTTGTTGTTGTCTTCAAATTAGAGTTGTTGTTGTTGTTGTTGTTGTTGTTGTTGTTGTTGTTGTTTTTGTCTTCACATTAAACCGTATGTCAATTGCTAAATGCCAAAACCTAGCAAAAGATTCTCAGCCCGTGGTCACGAAAGTGCTAGAGAGAGTGGTACACTTAAAAAAAAAGGCAAGGTACCACACGCCTCTGCTGTGCTTCCCGGACCGCATCCTACGCTGTGTTGTCTACACTGAACATGTACCAGTTGTGGACGTGCATACTGATGTGAAACGACTGATGTCACATGGTACGATTCGTGTGCGCAGTTACATGCACACCTCACACATGCCATTGCACGACGGCGGCTATCAATGCTCCATTAAAATACAAGTGAACTTTAGCCAAACAAATGGACGTTTCCTACCTGTCGATCTCAACGTCTCAACCATTTGTTCCGAACACAATTCCAAAGACGTTTCAAGCACACACCGCGTACATGGCACACAACAAGGAAACTAATCGTCCGTTGTCTAATGGCGCACACTGACAGAACACGACCACATTTGACGCGCAGGACGCAGCTACAGCAGTACAGCACAGAAGTACAGCAGTACAACACAAAACCACACTACAACAGCAGCGTGTGATCTCCCATGCAACAGCAGCAAATTGTGTGTTGCACGAAAAGACAAGCGGCGGACCAGAGCGGGATGGATGAAAGAGGCCCAACCTGAGACCACCGCGCGGCGTCTCTCGTTCTGAGTGTCGAATTTCTAGCAACCCTGTGTGCGCAGCCGGACAGGGCGACAGGGTTGCGGGTACTTGTCGTGCCGCAGCCGTTTGCTCTAGAAAGAGCCAAGGAACTGGTATGCAAAGCAGAGGAAGGATGGAAATCAGTCCGGCGCTGAACACGGACTCCAGGCCTATGTGTGATGAAGAATACCGTCCAACTTCTCGTCATCTCCACGCTATTAAATGTCAATACTTTGTGCTGCCATGCGTTTCTTTCTCTGTGTGCGCTCCTTGCTCGCAAAGGCGCAACCAACCACCATCGCTATGCTGCTGCACAGAAGTCTGCACCCTCTTTGTGATCCACCAAAAGTTACCGCTTGCGCACCTTCGCCTTTTTCCTGCCGGTGCCACGGGGAAGGGCCAGCTCTCGAGCTCGTTCTCGCCATACCTTCCTGAAGCACCAGCAGTCCCCTGTTGGCTTTGAAGGAGGAACCCAAACACACAAACAAGTGCTGTTTGATGTTGTTGTTGACCAGAAACCGAAAAATGTCCGAAGTGCTAGGGGCGGGGTACGCAAAGGGTCGCCGAATAATGATTCCCGGAACCCCCCGACCAAAGCCGGATCCTGTGTATGATCCTCCGTGCCATGTGCACCGACGACATCACACCGACAGAGGAGTAGCAGTGCTAGCATGTCGAGCCACCACCGTGCCAATGCGTTCGAGCCCGCGCTCTCGAGCGGCGTGTGGGAAGGGCTGAGCTACCGGCAGGGCTGCGAGGGGGTCGACGAGACCCGGTGGACGCAGACCTCTCTAGTTTTCACCGACATCCGGAAGGGCGGCGTGGGACGGTTGACCCCCAGAGGCGAGGCTCCGGCATGGGGCAGGGAGGAGCCAGGATCCGCGATCTTCAGGCTCTGCGGGAAAGGGATCTCGCACTGGAGAGGGAGGCAGATCCACTTCGCGCTCAGAGGTTTCGTGGAGCCTGGCGGCGGCGGGGGCGGCGCCGACCAGCAGCTGATGAGGATCACCTTGATCAAAAGGCACCTGGGGGAGTACAGCAACGTCGTGCAATACGAAGGTATTCAGCGTAGTCGACAGCAATAATAACATCAGGCAAACCGTATCCTTTCGGACCATGAAACACCATCATCGGATCGAGGGTCTCAGCCGATCTGGCTGGTTGATATTTACAAGATTATGTCCGCCCCGTCGCTTTATTGTTTCTGGTGCCTGCTCTGCTGCTGCTGCTGTGCTGTGCTGCCCTTCCTTCTTACAATAATAATGCAGTCAGTCCTCTCACACATTGTATAGTTGGTTCTCGCGACAGACACAGCCAGTATCAGCGCTACTTGCTGAAGGCGAACGCCCGGCTCATCACGACACACCGCTCGATTGACTTTTGGCCGGCTTTTTTGCGGGCAATTTTTTCATCATCAACAACAACAACCACACCAGCAAGCAGCAGAAATAAATGAAGGCATTGGTGATGCCGGATCCAAACAGAGCCAGTCGTCCGTGTGTGGGCGGATCTTAGCATCCGAAATACCATTGCATCATTGCTCGCGCAAAGAACGTATCCAGACCGACCCATCCATTTGTGCTCTCTAGCGGCTCTCTGTCGATACGCACGAACAGGGCACGCACACGCTCTAACAGTAAATAGCTCATCCCCTGTTGCCCAAATTGAAGGTGTGTGTGTTTCTCCAATACAAGTAGTCTATATCCGGTGATGATTAAAAATATTCTCGCTCGCTTGCGTGGAAATAAATGCATCCAAAAATATCTGCCTCTTTCTTTTGGAAAGAAAACGAGATCATCGGAAATCGGAAAAATTTAAGAAACCTTGAACTCTTGGATTCGATCGCCCGGACTGGTCGGTAGCCGGGAGCGGATATGCCCAGGATAGATGTGGCGAGGGCACCGATCGATCCACCGCCGCCAAAAGAGAGGACAGGCACGGTAGCGGGCACAATTTAATGAACAGTACTGTACTGTAGGCCTCCCGTATTGTCGACTCTGGTATAATAGCAGCAACCGACACAGGGGCGGACTTTCGGGTAGGGTGCGTGG